TAGTGATGTGGTGCTGGAGTCATGAACTGAGATGCTGGTGTCAATTTAAATGTCGATTTAAGGAAAGACTTCCCTCTGGACTCAAATCAAGAAGCAAACTCTTCTTTCTGATGTACTGTGTTTAAATATAAGGAAAAAGAAAATTAATGCAAATAAGTTATATGACAAGGCCCTAACAGCTTTAATATTGAATGTTCATATTCTTTTGTATGTGTGTGTTTAAACAAATTTCCTTTTGGTTTGCAAATCATGCTTAATACATTTTTTTAATGCAGCAGTCACTAGAGACTACAGTATATCACGCATACTGCTGGCCAACATTGGGACACATGGTCAGTTTTAGGTCCCCCAAATAATATAGGCCATGTGTGTTTCAATAAAAGTGTTCTTACTCTTTTAAGAAAAGCAGCAGCCCCAAATTTAGTGAAGGGATTTGGAGGTGGTTGTCATTTTGTGGGAGAGAGGGAGGGAGGGGAAGGTGAGTGTTTCCTCCCACACTTTGACTGTCCAGAAAAACTTTTTTTAAAAAAAAGAACATGAATATACTGATCTGTAATAGCAATAATAATTACAATTGCACAGTGTCAAGTTGTTTCCAACTTGGCCAGTAGTTAAACTGCTGTATTGCAGCCAAAACTGTGCTCGCGGCCCGGGGTTCAATCCCAGGTAGCCGGCTCAAGGTTGACTCAGCCTTCTATCCTTCTGAGGTCAGTAAAATGAGTACCCAGCTTGCTTGGGGGGGGGGCAATGTGTAGACTGCATAATTAACTTGTCAACCTCCCAGAGAGGGCTTGAAGCACTATGGGGCAGTATATAAGCAGCACGCTTTACTTTTGCTTTCTGTAGAGTATTTAAAAGTGGTTTCCCAGTCCCTCCTTCTCATAGCACTTTGGAACTATAGGGCTTGCCCAAGGCTGCACAAGGGGCAGGACTTCTAACTAAATCAGCCAGACACTCTTGGAGAGATTTCGGCTGGCTTCTCTTCTGGCAAGCACAGGATTAAAGCTTCTGGTCCCTGACTTTGCTGCCAGGCATTTTAACAGTGAACCTTTTTTTGAGTTTTACTTTTTTTGAGATTTTATTCATAAGAACACTGCAAAGCACAATTCTATGCACACTGACATGAATAGCCCCCACTGAACAAAGCTGAACTTGCTTCTTGGTTAAGTGTATGGAACTGTTAAAAAATGCTGGGAGTGAACCTCTGAGATGGACCCATGAGAACTGAGTTTACTCAGTGGACTTGGAATATTACTCTGTCTCATGGAGAGGGCAGAGGAAATAACTTTGCCGGGTTGTGGTGAAACGTGTAATTTCTGAAAAGGGAGATACACTGAAATCCATGTCTTGCTAATGACCCTCTCCCACCCCTGATGTAAGTTGAGCCCATAAAGGGCTGGAATAGCAAGATGGCAGTGATGGTTGATGGGGTCTCTACCTTATTATAATACTGAAAAAAACATTAGTAATGCTAGAATGTGGAAGTACCTTTGGTGGAACACAGGGAATCTCTCTTTATGGGTAGTAGAAAAATTACAACACAGTTCTTTTGTGAAAAGAAGAAAAATGGACTGTGAAGTTGGAATCAATTACTCCTATTGACCTTAGGATTCAATCTTGACTTTGCTTTTAGGTACAGCTATTTCTGTTTGGGACTGAAAGATATATAAACTCAGTTTCTTTCCTCTATGCTTATGGTAGCATAGAGTGAATACAGGGTGGCTGAATTGTTAGACATCATTATGCAAGTGCTTTTCATAGTTTGTAGGGAAATCCCTGTATCTTTAAAGATCAGAATCTTCTTTTTTTGTTTTTGTTCAGAGTGTATTGTGTGTTGGAATTTTGTTTTATGAGGTTATCTTAAAAATTGGATAACAATATTTTGGATTGAATGACGATGTTTGTTTGTTTTTACCCCGCCTTTCTCCTCGAAAAGGACCCAAAGCGGTTTACAAGATTACTTGAAAAGGACCCAAGGTGGCTTACAAGATTGAAATACAATGTTAAAGTTGAAAACAATGAATATACAATGATGGTTAACAACATTATAATACAATATTTAAAGCTAAGAACAGTGAGTATAAAGAGGCATCTTACATCATAGAACAATAAGTATACAAAAATAACAACTCTGATGGAAAACACAAACATGGAAAATACAAGTAGTATTAAAAATTTAGTGAAAGAAATAATGCATAACCATCCATCTAAAAACCACAGAAGAGGTAGCTGTTTACTGAGGTAGGGCTTGCCTGAAGAGAAAGGTCTTTGCGTCCTTGCAGAAGGATAGCAATGATTTTTAGGTTTGCTGTACTGTTATTTTTAAGTATGTACAGGTTGTTTTATATTTCATAGAAGCATATTTAAGTTTTGTAACAGTCACTTGTGTATCTATTATGGATTCCTAAATGAATGATCACTATAATTAAAAGGGTACTAAAGGCATTACAGTAATAAATATTAATTATAAAGGCCTAAGTTGCTGTCACTCTTCAAGATCTGGAATGGTGACATGGAATTTCTGATCATAATATAACACTACAAAATCATAGCCTGAGAGCTATCTGGCACAATTCTCGGCTGTACTGCCCATAATGGGAGCAAATGAACTTTCACATTTGAGTTCCTGGCTAGAATGGCAAGCAGTAAAGTGGATGTAGCTCTGACCAATATTAACCTTGATAGATAATCATAAAAACATAGCATAATGAAGTTGGAAGGGGCCTGTAAGGTCCAACCCCTGCTCAATGTAGGAATACAAATCAAAGGATATCTGCCAGGTGGTTGTCTAAATTTCTCTTGAATGCCTCCAGTATTGGAGCACTCAGCACCTCTCCAGGTAATTTGTTCCATTGCTGTACTGCTCTAATAGGAAGTTTTTCCTAACATTCAACTGAAATCTGGCTTTCTGTAACATAAGCCCATTGTTGCATGTCCTGCACTCTGGGTTGACTGAGGAGAGATCCTTCCCTTCCTCTATATGGCAGCCTTTCAAGTATTTGAAAAGTGCTATCATTTCTCCCCTCGTTCATTTGCAGTCAGTTGGGCAAATAAATAACAGTTAAAAGCAAAGCGTGCTGCTTATATACCGCCCCATAGCACTTCAAGCACTCTCTGGGCAGTTTACAAGTTAATTATGCAGGCTACACATTGCCCCCCCAGCAAGCTGGGTACTCATTTTACCGACCTCGGAAGGATAGAAGGCTGAGTCAACCTTGAGCCACTACCTGGGATTGAACCCCAGGTCGTGAGCACAGTTTTGGCTGCAGTACAGCAGTTTAACCACTGCGCCACGAGGCTGAGTATAAGGCAGCAACTGAACTAAACAAATATTTTGCTACTACTGCTACCAACAGCAACAACAACAATAGCAATAATAATGCCATGAAGTCAATTCTGAGTTATTATTACCCTTTCTAGGGTTTTCTAGGCAGAGAATACACAGATGTAGTTTACCATTCATTCCCTCCTTCTGGGAACATGTTGGGGCTGTGCAGCTTTGCCCAACGCTACATACGCTAGCTTTGCCACCAGGAGGCACAGTGGGGAATTGAACTCCCAACCTTTGGCTCCACAACCAGATACCTACAGGAGGAAAACTAAAAATTAAGAACCATATTCCACATCCCCAGAAGAAGATGAACAATACTGATGGATTTTGCTACCTGTTTGGCAATAAACATTTTGCTACCTGTTTGTTCCATTACATATTCTGACAATAAAATCACAGTTTTGAAGAAGAATTAATGATATTTCTTCATGCTATGATGAAGGCTGCAATGCAAACACAGGAGTTACTGTAGTGGCCTCTAGTAAATTACAAGGGCAACATGTTTTGTAAATCTCCCTCTGAAATTTCTATAACGGAGATAGATAACAGTATCTGACTTGCATGAAGTGCGTGTTATTTCTAAGGGGAAAACACAATATGTGATTGCAATATAATAAAGACAGAAGGAGCACATCCAGTGAAATCTATGAAGAGGGGGTGGAGATGATCCTCTGACTCTTGAAGATCCACATCCTTTTAATTGCCTGTCTCTTCCCAGACTTCACCATTTTAAACTGCTTAACTTAAAAAAAAGGTTTAAAAATCAGATCAAATTGTGAGAGGACTATATGCCATGATTCAGCTGTGTTGACTGATGATTTACTTCTCTTACATAATGTTTTGATCAAGACACACTCCAGTGAATGTGCAGTCAAACAGTAACTAAGCACAGACTATGTAATGAGACTGTCTCTCTACACCCCATCATGAAATCTCTTTTTCCCCCTTATTGATTTGCAAAGAAAAGTGGCTATGGTGGACAGGGCTTTTGTTGTTCTGTCTCCCATGCTGTAGCAGGAGGAAGCTGTGGAAGTGGAAAGTAATGATAGAACAGGCAGATTGAGAGCTCGTTGTGTACAAATGCAATATGATTCATTTGAAGAAGCCACAGAAGTTGATTGGCTATGAGTGTTCTGCATTGCTTTCTTACATACAACACAGTAGAAGGAACTTGCCAGAGAGGCAAAATATATGTATGAATGGCAGTGAGAAGGAGCAATTCAACAGGATGCCCTGCTTCACTGTTACTTTTCATAGTGAGTGTTGACTAAGACTCAAAGTTCATCCTCAGCATGCATGCCCAACATGCATATGCACTGAAGTCCACCACACTCACCCCCAGCAACTCCACAACGAAGAGGGATGTAGGATATTTAGGAGAGCTTGGGGTAATGCTGGTCAATTTGGACATTACACAATCTGCATTCACAGTAGGTCACCTGGGCATTACACATTTCTAAAAAGTAATTATTGTTTATGGTGGGGGATGCTATTTGAGTGGGTGGGATGTTGGATGACCACATATTATAACAGCTGGAGGAAGGCAGCTGCAGAAACCATGATATCCTTGGCAAGGTGTGGTCTGTTTTCAGTTATGTACAAGTGTGCAAATGTTTATTTGATTGTGTTTTCTCTGTTCCAGTACTGATTTCTCTGCCCTTCCTTCCAGATACTCTAACTCGCCTGATCAAGCATCAAGTTGATGTCAAAGACACAGAGTTCCATAAGGAGGTAAGTATTGAAGCCATGGGTCAATGTGATGCAGCAAGGGAATAAATGGAGTTGGATTGAGCCACAGGAAATAAACTTTTTTGAAGAGGAAAGATTAATGCACAAGTGTGCTGGGCACATTAAAGGTGTAGATACCTCATCCAGGAGTAAACAATTGCAGCATAAACAGATTTCCAATTTCTCATTCTAAGTAAACAAAACAAAACAAAACAACCCCCCCAACAACAATCTTGATATAGGGTGCATATTTTAGTAAGGATACAGAAATGCACACTGGTTTATGCTTTCAGGGTAATAAAACTGAGACAAGCTGTGATGTTTAAAGGAGAGTTCTAGTGAAGCCGCACACACAACCACAACCACCAGAATTTGGGGAAAGTTTGAAGGAGTCATAGTAGGGCAAATCTGTAAAATCTGGACTGATCATGTTGAGTAGATTTGCCTAAAAGTAGAATCTCAGCAATTTCTACATGCTTGTGCTGATGACTTTATTCTGGAGGACTTGAGAGAAGAGGGCAGGATCCACACTATGCATGCTTTGGTTATATCAGGAGTTTCAAAACATGGAGAGTTTTAATTGGTAGAGAATGTATACCGACAGAGCTCTAACCTTGACACTTAATGTCATTATTTCCATTTCCTCCTACACATGAAAGGTGATGAATCCTGGTGAAGGACAGTTTTGCTATTAATGGGGGTTGTCCATGTGAATCAGGATCTCACATTGAGGGCCCCTGGAAGGGTTAAGAAATTGGGGATACAGGGTGACAGGACCAGAGTGCTCCCCTTTATATGTGAGTATATGCTGTTTTTAAAATGCCTCAATAGGGCTAGTAGCAAACCCCAAAGCATCCAGAGGTTCACTGCACATAAGAATTATTGATCCTGTGATGATACACAAGTCACCTGGATGTTACCATACTTATATAAAAGCTATTAACCCTACTGTGTAAGATTTCTATATACAGTAGCACAAATTACACAACTACCCTGATTACCTGATGGGAGTAGCTTGATCCCTGCAATGATGCTGGTGTGGAGTAGGGATTTTATTTTGTTCTTGCAGGTGAGAATAAAAAGGTCAGATGGGCAAGATTAGGAGAGGTTTTTATGCATGTTTAACATTTTTGCACTTTTTGGTAAAAAAAAACTCACAGAAGTTGTGTGTGTGCCATGTCTTACATTTTGTGCAAAACACTTCATTTTGTGCAAAAAGTTTTATTTTACATAAAATACAAGATTTTAGGTGCATTATGCAAAATGGAGATTTGCTAAGATTGCCAATCATGACAAAAATGTTGATCATCACAGATATGTTGATCTTTTCACTCTTGTGAAGGAGTAAAAGGTCTCATAGCAGCTAGCAATTTTTGATAGGTGCCTTGATGTTTTGAGGCATCCCTTTTCTGAGGAAGAAAATATTTGTGAGTATCTGTTATATCTTTAGTGTGTAGGTGTTTGTGCCTTCGCACATGCCAAGTGTATTCCTGCCTCTTGCCAGGATTCAGATGATCAAAATGGGCTCCAAAATAACAATTCTGATGTTCAGTAAATATTCTGTAAAATATTCTAGTAAATCCAGAATGTTTTTAGAGCTGAATTAATGCCAATTGTCCACTCCAAGACAGGGCCTTCTGTTGAGCCCACTATCCTTCTCCCTGGCAGTAAGTGCACATAGATGTTGCCAGCATCTGTGCAATTGCAATGCCAGCTAACTGCTATGTCTGCTCTCTCTCTGTCTCTCCTTCCAACTCTAGGTGCTTATATACGAGGCAGGCTTCCTGGTTTGTGCTGCCATTGGCCTCCTGTTCATCTTCCTTGTGCCCCTCGTGGGCTTGTGCTTCTGCTGCTGCCGTTGCTGTGGACGTTGTGGGGGTTTCTTGTACCAGAAGCAAACCAAGCACACTGATTGCAAGAGGCAGGCCTTCTTTGCATCTGTGCTGGTTGTCACTGCCATTCTTCTGTGAGTTCTGAACATGAGAAGGGTTGGGTCAGGGTTCTGACAGTGGCTTCTTCGAGCAAGAAATTGCTTCCAAGCTCTCCTCTTTTTTTGCAACCACTCAGACCTGCTTTAAAGCAAGAAGTACTAGTTGTGTACCAGTAGCTTTACACACACACACACACACACACACACAAACACACACACACAGAGTTTTATTGAGTCTACCATCTGTAGCAAAGTAGAACAAAATTTTTAAAAGCAAAATTCTACATTAAAATATATATAAGACATATTTACATTTGCTATTTATTATAAACAAATAAATAGCAGAAATGCATACAGTGGACCCTCGACTTACAGATGGCTCCACTTATAGACTTTTCGAGTTACAGACTTCTCTGGCCGCAAAATTTAGGTTTGACTTGCAACCGGAGAATTGACCTACGGACCGGGAAAAAACCCAAAATGGAACAAAAATGGCCGGTTACAGATTAATTGGTTTTCAATGCATTGTAGGTCAATGGAGCCTCGACCTACAGACTTTTCGACTGGCAGCCACCATTCCAATACGGATTAATTCTGTAAGTTGAGGGTCTGCTGTATTAGGATGGATGTATACCTTCAAACCTCAAGAATCTCAAGCACAGTTAAGAGACAGATTCTAAATATTTCTTCTCCTTTGTAACAGAAACTGTAATTTTTCTCTCATCTTACTTTATTTTCTCTAGTAGGGGCTTTTAAATATCTTGGAAGGTCTCTAGTTTCACTGATCCAGGTTCTCCTAGTGGTGATGCCTATTACAGCTATAGGATGCCTAGTGGCTATGGCCAGCTTTGTCACTGTGTGGCCATCATTCTGCTGGTAAACCTTCTCATATTTAGCTAGACTCATCTTCAGACAGGAAATTCACAGTCCGCCTTCAGGCTTGTTAACTCATTGAAACCTGCCAGAGCATATGCTGCATGGGTTTAGTCTTTGAAAATGGCGCTGGAGTAGATCTTTGTGCAGGAAAGGCTCAAAATATTGTTTCTAATTTATTTATTTAAGTTATTTATATTCTACTTTTCCCTCCATAGGGGACCCAAGGCAGCTCACAACACGTAAAATAATAAATTTTAAAACACTATACAAATATCACATTAAAAAAAAAATACATACAGTGGACCCTTGACTTACAGACGGCTCGACTTACAGACTTTTTGAGTTACAGACTTCTCTGGCCGCAAAATTTAGATTCGACTTGCAGCCGGAGAATTGACCTACAGACCAGAAAAAAACCAAAATGGAACAAAAATAGAATAAAACCCGCCGGTTATAGGATTAATTGGTTTTCAGTGCATTGTAGGTAAATGGAGATTCGACCTACAGACTTTTTGACTTGCAGCCACCGTTCCAATACGGATTAATTCCGTAAGTAGAGGGTCCACTGTATTAAGATTAAAACAATTAAGTATAAAACAATTTAAAAACATTTCAAACCTACAAGTTGAAAGCCAGCATTCCTGAGAGAACTTGCTGCCTGCCTGAAGAGGCAGGTCTTTGCCTGACAACAGGAGGACAAGAGGGAGGGAGCCAACCTGGCGTTTTGGGACAGTACATTCCCAAACAGGAGCAGCCATTGAGAAGGCCCTATCTCGTGTCCTCTTATGTCCTCATCATGTGAGCTTGGGAAGATGGTGGAACTGAGAGAAGAGTCTTCCCAGAAGATCTTAAAACCAAGAAGGCTCATATGGGTGATATGGTCCTTCAAATAGCCTGATAGCAAGATGGAAAAATGATTTTAACATGCTATTTTTTCTTTACAGTCTATATACTGTTTCCCAAGAACTATCTTATTTCAGTAGAGTTTTTTCACCTGCATGGGCACTGTTAGCATGCCAGGTGGGCACTGCATGGATGTGCTAGATATTGGACAAAATCCTCTTGTGTAACATTGCTCCTATGCAAATGGTGACGTTGCCAGCTGCCGGCTTTTATCACTCATTAGAAGTTTCCTATTCCAGCTCCTCAAGTTCTGAGGCTTCCTTGGGATGTCTTTTGACCTGCTGGGGGCGGGGAGCCTTTAATTCCTGGAAATTGCTGCTGACAGTCTCCATCCTGGCAGTGGGACCATCAGTGAGGATTTCCAGGCATTAAAGGGGGATGGTTTCAGCTTTGAAATTTTGCTTTAGACTGTTCCCCCCCCCCTTTTTGTAGATAAATAACAAGGGCTTTGTGGGTGGCTGTTTCTTACCCTGTCATCTCTGGGGGAAAGGAAGAGCCACTTTAATACAAAAAACCTGCCCTTCCATCTCTGAGTCCTTGTTTCCCTTTGAAATTTCCTTGCAGAGCTGGAGACATCTGTGCCTACGTGAGCAACCACCGCATAACCCAGGGTGTAGACAGAAGCTTCAGCATTTTTAACAGTACTATAGACAATCTGCAGACCTATCTGGAATCTATCCCTCAGGTATATTGCCCAAATTATACCTCTGCCACTGCTTCCTTTCCTTTGGATGGTGTATTTTGCCATGTCCAGGTATAACTGTCAATATTATGCTCACATACTCAGATAATTGTCCCTTGACCACTTGTTTCCTGCTCCAATCTCCATCTGCTTTCCTCTGGCCTATAGTAAAGCACTTCTTCTCCATCTTGCCTCTGTCCTCCAGTGCAGTGGTGTCGAACTGTGGCCCTCCAGATGTTCTTGGACTTCAACTCCCAGAAGCCTTCACCACCACCTCTGCTGGCCAGGATTTCTGGGAGTTGAAGGCCAAGAACATCTGGAGGGCCACAGTTCGACACTACTGCTCCAGTGGAAAGAGCCTTCTGGCACAGTGGTTAAACTGCAGTATTGCAGCAAAGATTGTGCTCATGACCTGAGTTCAATCCCAAACTCAGGTAGCTGGCTCGAGATTGGCAGCCTTCCAGCCTTCCGAGGTTGGTAAATTGAGTATACAGCTCGTGGGGGGTGGGGGTGGGGTAATGTGTTGCCTGCATCATTAAACTGTAAACTGCCCAGAGAGAGCTTTAAGCACTGTGGGGTGATATATAAGCAGCATACTTTGCGTTTGCTTCTTTTCATTTCACACAGGCCATCACTATTTCATTGTGTGGTCACCATTATCTCACCAACACATATCTTCTTTCTGCAGTTTCAATTCAATAAATGAGATGATTGTTTGTGGCCATAGGCCACTGCAAAACATAGCATACTACACTACACATAGAGAAGCAGAAGCAGGTAAATACACACAGACTATCAATGGATCAATCTATGTATAGAAAAACAATATATGAGTGACTGCAATCCACAGCCCTAAAAACAACACTCATTCAGCAGCCAAATCTTAAGCAGCCCAAGAGCGTTATCATGGGTTTACAGTGAATCAAAGTGATTTCAAATATCCAGCTTACTTATAACAGTTAGCACAAGACTAGAGCACATGACCTCAGATCACAGTCAGGTTTTCAGAAAGCTCTCTTCACTGTTTCTTGCTGCAAGAGCAAATGGGCTGGATCCTACTATCAATACCCCCCCCCCAATTATGAATAAGGCTGACAAATAGTGAGACAAAGATCTCTCTCTGGAGAAGTTACTCATTGGGCAGTAAAGGAGGATATCCATTTTACCAATCATCCCCCTCCCTATAAACATTCCCTTTGAGCTATAAGGATTCTCAAATATCTCTGCCCATTAGACATGCTGATGCAATGGAGTCACAATTTGTTGAATGTTTTCTTACGCATACAATGGTCAGTAATCATTAGGTAACTGGGTCCAGAGTGATTTTAGTTAAATAGAAGCCAGTGTAGTGAGTGGGCAGAGTTTTGGAGTAGGACTCAGGAGACTTGAGTTCAAATGCTCACTCAGTCATGGAAACTCACTGGGGGATGGCACAGGTAAAACCACTCTTTAACTATCTCGCATACCTTTGAAATTCTGCTAGATTCTCCATGAGTTGCAAGTGAGTTGATGGAACATGTCACTCAGAGGCCAAAGTGACTGGGCTGAATCAGATTGTAATCAGTGAGCTTGTGCAGAACATTTGATGTTTTGTTCCCTTGACTGAGGTTCATCCATCTATCTACTGAGATTTCATTTTGGACATCTTTGAAATGCACAGATCCTATTGCCTCTAAATTGTTTGGGCCAGAACATGTTGGTAGAGCAGACATTTTCCAGTGGATTCATTTCCAGCTAGAAGCGTAGCACACATTGGTCTACAATTTTAGTACTCTCTGAGCATGGCAAACTGCTCAGGCAGTGTCAATTAGCAAGTGCGAATTAGGCTTTGTTAAAAGCTGGACTAGAAGGCAGTGAAGAAAGGATCCCTTGCCAGTGACAGAGAGCTGTGGCTTTCCTGGCCCAGAGGGCTAGTACACAACATAAACTTGGTGTTCCTGATTGGGGAGGGGGGTACCTGAAATAAGTAGCTTTGTATGGTAATGCACTTTCATGCATCTGTTTTCCATTTGTACTGCTTGTGATACAAATGTTCTCTAAAACATTTGTAGAGCTTCTTTTAAACAGCAGCACAAAGTATAATGTGTAACACAAAGTTTTAGAGAGAATAAATGTTCTCCACCGTTCACAGAGAATGATGAAAACAGTACTTAGCTAGTCTGTTTTTCTAACAATATTGCTTCGAGGATACCTCCCATTGAAAGCATTTCTCACACCATGTACTTGTGCCAAAATAATCATGCCATGTTAATGTCTACAAACTATTTGGCACAGTGAATTTAACACTTCTCTAGGAGACTTTTTGCAACATGCAAAGAATCACTTGAAGTCACTTAAGTTTTAAAAGCTTTTGTAAGGTATGGAGATTGGCAGGAATTGGTTTGAGTGAAAGCACCCTGCAAATCTGAACTATAGGTTCACTGCAACTGTGCTTCTCATCCACAAAGACCTGGGTTGGCTGTGGCTATTGTTTCCTTCTTCTCAAATCTGCAGTTTGTTTCTGGTATTTAATTATTTTATTTGTGACATTTGCCTCTCAAATGGAAGGCAGTCATGGATAGTTCCTTTTAAGCACTGGTCTATTATGACCTTGAAATACTGCAGAAAAAATACTAATCACTTGGATCTAAGTCCCATGGATTTCAAATAGAACTGATTTTCTATTATATGTACATAATATTTCAGTCTTCACTGCTTATTTAATGGTCCTACCATACAATTCTGATATTCACAAAATGTATCTAAATTGGAAGAAAAAGGTCAGTGAAATATGCAGTGAATTTATTTTAATAAAGTGAATAAATTTCAGTATTCTATACTCAAACTGTATGTATATAATCCTATGTTTCTTACAGTTTTATATCTATGGCTATAATTATGCTCAGGATTTTGGTCTGCTCTGCTCTGCCCCCAACATGAAGTTATGATTATATTCTATAATTTTCTTTATTGTCCACAGGAAATTGATGAGATTCTTGACAGTAGTTCAGTGCCACTGAATAAAACAAATTCAAGCCTGCTGAGTGAGTCTGTTTATATGCCATTATCATGTGTGTGCACATGCATATGCCTGGGCACACTTGGATTGGTTGCTTAGATCTTGTGTGGTCTCCATTATTCTGAAATACAATTTAGCTGTTTAGATCTTGTAGTCAAATGGTGGGCTTTAAGGGGACACTTTAAAATCAGCTGAACATTCCCAATCTCATTGGTGGATAGTATCAGGCAACCATAGGGGATGAAGTTGAAGCAGGTGGTTCTGTCCATATTTAGAGCCTTCAGAGGTATTTGGAAGTCTTGACTGCAGATCTGAACTAGCTTTACAGATGCACCATGTATATTGCAATCATCAGTATCTTTGTATTCACGAAGGCTTTCATGGCCGGGATCTAATGGTTGTTGTGGGTTTTTCGGGCTATTTGGCCGTGTTCTGAAGTTTGTTCTTCCTAACGTTTTGCCAGTCTCTATGGCCGGCATCTTCAGAGGACAGCACTGTGTGCTCTGGTGTAGTTGGCTTGGGAGTGGAGTATTTATGGCTGTGAGATGGGCTTTTGTCTTTTTCTGTAGATGGGTGATTAGTGTGTCTTGTTGTGGGTGGATTGTTGTTATAAGAAGGAGAGATTATCTGTCACTGTGGTTGATGGGCAAAAGGTCAAAGAACTCTACCCAGCCACAAGGACTGGGGATCACTACACACAAAAGACCAGCTAATGATACCAATTGAGCACAATATTGTCTGTTTTCCCTTTGCCTTACACAGGGATCAAGTAGATTTAGCTTATGTTCTAATAACAACAAAACATGGTAATAAACTTTGGTAGACTGCAAAAGAGGGGAAATATTTAGATTACTTTGTTCTGATGCTATTCTTTCTCTGCAGACATTGGAGCCACTTTAGGGAAGAATATCAAGGTTCAAATTGGTGGGGCAGCAGAAAAAGCTCTGAACACAACTGAACAACTTATTGGAGGTACTGCAAAGGAAAGTTGGTGGGGGTGCAGCAGTAAATATAAGACCATAGACATTGCACCTTTTTTGGTATAGGAGGAGGAGATGTGCAAAGGTTCAGAGGCTAAACACAGTTCAGTGGAAAGCATTGTTTAGAAAGCCAAGAAACTGAGGTTGGTTATGGGTTCATTTTGATGTCAGAGAGAATAACTTGTCCACCTTCACTCTGATAAATACTCTGGCAGGAAAGAAGCATCTTTTTCCTTTTCCCCTGCACTGGTGAGGATGAGAAATGGCCAGTGACCCTTTCATTTAGGTCTCTTCAGCCATGTTTCATATGTTTGTTTGGCCATCTTCTTGTGCTGAAAATTATGCACGAAGTGGCTGGGCAGTGCAGATTGAGAAATTTTCCCTTGGCCTTTTGTTCCTGTCCCTTTCAGAAATTGTCAGAGCGGAGCAGGAACTTAAGAATGTCAATGAGTCGGGCCATCGCTTACAGGAACTACAAAAGGAGCTAAGCCGAAATCTGACTACTTTGAGGGATAAAATCAATGAAACCTTGAAGAAATGTGGCAAACCTTGCCAGAATGTATCAGTGGACAACCTGACGACTGGGGCAAATTTCAGCATGGTAACGTGAGGTTGGAAAGGCAGAAAGACACTTGGAAAGCCACGGTGGATTATAAGAGATCCTGGCAAGAGCAGTCCTCTAAGGAAAAACAGCAAGAACTGTGTGGGTGGTTTTAAAAATAATATAGAAAAGTGGTTAATAAATCATAAATACAACACTTCAGGACCCACGGGCTTCATATAATAGGGTGAGACTACTGAAACAGATGACGCAAATAAAGCTGAATCCCATGTCAGTGGAGCAAAGTGGGTTCAGCTGTAACTCAGTTGGAGGACTGGAAGCATATCTACAGGAGATGATAATCAAACACATGCATGGATGCTAGCTTCTTCTCTCCTGCATCAGTGTAAACAAAATGTTTCCATTCCACTTCAAATAAAGTGAATTGTTCATGCATTAATTTGGTACAAAGAGATAGTTATTTATTTACTTTCCTACAGGTACCTAATGTCAGCGATCCACTTCAGCTGCTAACTGATCTGATGGCGTTAGACCCCAAAGCTACTATTGCAAAGGTAACACCATTCCTCCTTCCTGTCCTCTGCCCCACTCCTCAGACCTGTTGTTTTCTCCCAGTCTCCAGAAAAGTCATGAAGGACAGCCTTTCTGAATAAGGAACATTACTGCATAGCAGTGTGCCAGGACAATCTGCTTAGAAAAAACATTGCAGTTGAAATGAGGGCTACAGCTCAATGCTGAGAACCACAGGCTGAACCAAGAGACCTCTAAGGGGTCTTTAAGACCTTGACTATAGCAATTTATATACCTCTTAAGTCTTCCATGTATAGTTGGGAATTGTACATTCCACATGTAGTCTGTCCACCCCACCCTGGCTTCCACTGCTAGAAAAAAATGACCTAAAATGGACAGTCATAGCCCTGGAAGCCTCCATAGAATGTGACTGTCCATTTTAAGACCATGCAGGACATTTGTGTGTATGAAATAAGAAAACTACAAATAAGACTTGAAAACTCAAAGTCACGGCAAAGAGGAAAATAGAAGAAGTCTGGGGGTTAGTGTTTGTGGTGACCAAAATAGAGTGGGTGAGTTTCTGGGACTGTCAATGGCTGAACAGTATGGCTTTAATTCATTTACCTAATCTTATGCTTTCTAAAAATATTGCTAGCCTGCCTTGTCTTTGAAAACAGCATTTGGCTTTTCCTTTTGCTGAACAAAGAGGGGGCACATTATAGCAGGTGTGAGATCTATGCCTAGTATGTATGTATCTTATTAATGTTTTTCTTTATCCGTTCCTATGGTGGCAGGCAAGGAAAACCCTGAGTGAGATTCCAATGAAGGTGACTAACCAAACAGAAACGGTTGTGTCTGGTAAGAAGCTCTGCCGTGTATCCTCATTTTAAGTACTGAATGAAATTCTTTATCTGGGGAAATGGCCAAGATTAATTCTTGTTAATGGCCCCAGAGACCAGACAACTGCTAGAGTTTGGTCCAACTAGCAAAATTAAATTGGTTAGTTCAAAATACTGTAATAAGGGAAAGGCATCCATTCAGCTTGATTGTTTAATATAGCTGTGACATTTACCATGTAACCCCTGCTTTTCATCGCATTTTTCATTTGTTCTAAAGAAGTGACATTCTCACGTTCCATCCACTTCTCCAGACATTGAACTAATTTAGCCCCCAATTGGAAATAAGAATTATCAGGCTTTTTGGTCAGGGCACGAAATTTTCGCCTCAGCTGTTCTGCATTGATGCCATATCTTGAATAAACCATTTTCCTATAACCCTCAAAGTCTCTGGCCTGCTCTAGAGGCATCTGTGAATACAACTCTGCTAAATCTCCACTTATTTGGGATCTCAGCAATATCATTTTTTCTTCCTCTTTCACATTAAAATCACAGCATGCATGTTCAAAGGAAATGAGGAAAGATTCTGGGCAATCACCTTTTCTATATTGGGGAAATTTCTTTAGATCTATTTTGGAGACATTTCGCTCATGATTGCTGTTGTTATTATTGCTATTATTGTTTTGAGCAGCCAATTCTAATCTTTTCATTTCCATTTGAAAATCCATCTCTTTTAGTCTTAATTCCATTTCTCTTTGTCTATTTTCTTGCTCAATAGCCATTTCTCTCTCTTAATTCTATTTGTCTAGCCTCAGCCTAAGCTTTGAGCTGTAGTTCCTGAGCTTTTTCTTCAGCCTTACATTTTTCTTTCTCCAATTCTAATTGATTTCTCATAGCTAGCTCCTTCAATTTAAATTCCTGTTCCAGCTTCCGTTTTTCAAACTCTTGAGAGATTGGATCACTTTCTCTCCCTGAGGTACCCTCATGAGTCTCCTCCTGTTCCACAGATCGAGGAACTCCATTTCCCTCCACTTTGTGAGGTAAACCTTCAGCCTCTTGAGGATCAATTACCTCCATTACTAACTTTTTATTTCTTTTAGGTGGCATACGTATGTGTTTTTCTTTAGATAAGAGCTGGTTTATATTTTGCAGAGATAGTCAGGCTTCTTTCTAAATTACTTTTTTCTTTCTGAGATACTATGTAGCTCTCCCTCAGCAGCTAAGGATAGCTACACTTTTTCTGGCACCTCACCAGCAATGCTTTTCCTTGGTCTGAGACACCTCTTGCCTCCAGACACAAAACAAATTCTGATATTTTTCAAGCCTTTGCTTGTTCCTATCAACTCAGACCTGTTTTGACCCTGGCTTCCACTTTTTCTCCACAAGCACTCTGTTAACTCTTGGAGCCTTGGATTCTAAGTTAGTCCACTGAGTCTATTTAAATCCTGAGGTAACTTCAACCAGAATTTTTCTCTCAGAGTCATTCCCTATCTTTAGTCCCCCCAAGATCTGAATTCAGAAGCCCTGCCACTAAGCTTTTCCACAAAAGCTTTAGCGAGTCACCCACTTCTCCCCTACAGACCTTTGACTAATAGGTATCCTTGACTCAGAAATTTGTTTCATGGGGGAAACCTTATAGATTACCCTTAAGAACAATGAAATCTGCAGGGAACAATTCATCCAAACCATCATTACAATAATATGTTAACTATTAAATTGTGTACCATATGTTACTCTTTAACACAATATATTTACCTTATACAGTACTTCTACATATCTTATCTTAGATGTTCTCACTTACTATGTTTAGCCGATCAGACTTATTATTTAAACATTTAAAACCATCAATTATAACAATTTGCCTTAAATATCTTAACACAACTCACATTACTTTTACATTTATACCATTACTTACCATTTTTTTCACAAGACATTGCAGTTTAATTACTTCTCAAAACTAGTGTACAAACAGAACATTTCTTACAACATTACAACATTACACTTTTCCCCATCCATCCGTTAGTCCTCTGGTCTTCGAGACAACGCATCAGCCACCACGTTCAGGGTTCCCTTCACGTTGTGAAATTCAAAATCAAAGTCCTGCAAGAGTAGGGCCCACCTCATCAGTTTGTTGTTATTGGCCTGAATAGTCCTTAGCCACAAAAGTGGGGAATGGTCAGTGTACAGTGGTGCCCCGCATAGCGACGTTAATCCGTTCCGGAAAAAACGTCGCTATCTGGATTCCTCGCTATGCGGGGCAAAAAACCCCATAGGAATGCATTAAAACACGTTTAATGCGTTCCTATGAGGAAAAAACTCACCTTTAAGCGAAAATCCTCCATCCGGCTGCCAATTTCGGTGCCTGGTAAGCGAGGCAACACAGCGGGCGGCCATTTTGGAACCGCCAAACAGCTGTGCTTCGGTGCTGGCTCCGAGGGGAGAGAGAGCCAGCTCTCTCTCTCCACCCCTAGCAACTTCAGCCTGGGCAGGGAGACTGAGGCACCGTGGCCAGAGTCCCCCCCCATTGGCTCATAGAAGCTGAGGATGTTGGCTTGTGGAGTAGAGCACGGGGCGAGGGGGCGGCCTCCCTTTGGATGCCAGGATGCCAGGACTCTCGGCGTGGGCAGGAGAGACGGGGGGGCGTCCGGGCTTGGAGGGCAGAGGAGGAGCCCCTTCTTCCCCTGTGGGGGCCCGGCGCTCCTGTCCCGTCGACCTGGGTCGCTCCGCCCGCCCACCCGGCTCACCCACCCATGCACCGGGGCCCCTCCG